TCCCTCTCTGGCTAGACTTCTCCATGCTATTGCACAGTACACACATAACTGTCCACAAGCCTGTACTGTTGCATGCTACCTTACCTCACCACCGTACCTCATACCTCTGTCAAATGAAGAGAACTGTTTTGTTCTCTCCAGTTCTCTTCCCTGGACCTACAATCAATAATTTTCAGTTGTTGTTGTACACAGTACATCATGCACAGACTCTGCCTAGGTGTAAAGTGCCATTCTGGATCTCACACTAGACTGGACCTGGTTTAAAGATAGGGATAAACCTCACCTCCAACAGCTGTGTTTCACTCCTGCCTCTTGCAATTACAGAAGACTTATCAGTATTTTTAGCTGCCATGGAGTGTAATCACTGAGTGCATACAAGATCTGTGCATGTTAATTGTACTAATTCCGTGCGTATATCTTAGTTACTCATCTTGTGCCTGATTGCAACAGTTTATCTCAAAGGAGCCTGTGGAAGGGGAAGGAATAGTGAGGGAAATAACAGGGCACTAAGTAACAACAAAGACCAAATCAGATGAGCATACTAGAAATTCTAAGGAAAACACAAAGGAAGGAAGGGGGGAATATGTCCTCCCTGCTACCACAAATGGGTTTATTCCTCTCAGATACTTTACAATTAGCATAAGCCAATTTAAGTTCTTCAGCGTGACCATCTGCATGTTTCGTCAGCCCTCAATGATGCTAGCCTCACCAAGTGAAACAATCCCAACTGAAACCCTTATTTTGAAAGGGGACTGGGTTAGTTTTCAATGGGGCCAGTTTCTGAGCAGCCAAATGAGTATTAGCACTGGTGCTTCTTAGGCAGTAGAAACATACAGATGGTGGTGACGGAAGGAAGGAGGCATGACAGCTCCTTTTAGCAGCTTAGACTCATCATGAAGATGCCACTTCAAAGTGTACTTTCCCAGTCTCCCTAACCTGATGTAAAGGCAGCTGCTGAGAATTGTGCTCTAGCTGTTTGCTGTTCACTTTTACAGTAGGGTAAAAGTGCACTGGCTTGCTGTGGGGTCAGCTGTGTATCAGTATCTGCGGAAGGATTGTGGGAGGTGAGCACAGTCAGGGCAGAGGGCTACCTCTTTCACAGCAGCTCACCATTTGATCAACTTAGAGGTATGGTTAAACTCTGTTCTTTGCTGCAAGCCTATCACAAAAGGTGATGTTAAAGTTTTTAAGGGGGAAAAGCAAGTGGGTGACTTGTCAGTAGCTTCCCAGAAGAAGATTATTTAGTCGTACAGAAACTGAAAGAAGCAGACGGACTTCTCCATCCCAGAGCCTGAGGTAGTGGAGTTGAAGATGATAGCTCACAAGGCTTGTAATGAAAGCTTAAGATTTATATAAATAAA